GTCTATCTGGGGTCGTTTTTCGTTGTCAAGTTGGTCAGTTGGTAAAGATAACAAAACCAAGTGTAGATTGTTGGATTCGATCAGTATGTAAAATTATAAAAGCACTGTGTGTTTACATGGTGAAATTTTACTTATCACATTTGTGTTGATTTTGTCACTTCATGGGGAAGGAAGGTGTTGTAGCCGGGTCAGATTCTGTTTTAGTCCATCATTCCTATTCCGTTCAGACAATTTGGATTCCACTTGATATGAAGTGCTTCTGGTATTAGATATTCTTTGTGATTTCTGAAATGCTTTTCTGGATTATTTCAATATTGTGAAAATCAATTTTGTGGCCTGATTCTATAGCGTAGCGTATAGACCTATGGCTGATGATTTTTCAAGTTTTTCTAGTTCAGCTCGATTTCTCGGTGGTCGAAGAGATGCTTTACGGTGTTCGTTTCTTCTAATTTTGATTTCTCGAGATGTTTGTCCGATGTAGATCGATTCATATTGCAAGCATTTTATTTTATAGACATAGTTAGATAGAGAACAACGCCTCCCTCCCCCATGAAGTGACAAAATCAACACAAATGTGATAAGTAAAATTTCACCATGTAAACACACAGTGCTTTTATAATTTCACACACTGATCAAATCCAACAATCTACACTTGGTTTTGTTATCTTCACCAAATGGCCAATGTGACAACGAAAAATGACCCCTTACTGGCGAACAATGATCAAGTTAGTAAACTTTGTTTTGATATCATAATAGATGTACTATTACGTCTGTTATTTGGTTTAGTGATCTTCTCTGTTATTTTGACTTTCAATATGTCCTCTCAGTTTAACTTGACCTAAGTAGTCTATTTTCTCACCCCTTAACTCTTTGTCATATATAACCTGAGTGGATTTTGTAAATTCCGGTTTAATAATACTTTGATAAAGCTATTAGCATTAAATAGCGAAACGTCAGTAAAAGCAACAATATCGTTTTGTTTTTCATTCATTGGGAAATAAAAAACACTTTTATTATAATGAATATCATATACCCGATGCCCCAATTTTTCAAACCGTTAAAAGTGAACTTGGTTTGGATATATATATATATATATATATAACTTCCTCCCAGTGTTAAAACATAACTTCATATTGAAGTTAGCGCCAAAATAAAGCTATCTGGAGGGATATAACGAAACCTGTTGTACTTGTATCGCTAAACTCGGAGGAAATAATTACAAAGAAAAGAATCTACCTCCAAAAAGTGCTGACAATCATTTAAAATACCCTAACCTGACGTTGTAGGGACTACAGTCAATGTGTTATTCTCTATTTATACCTTCATAAGATAGATGACACTAATCTCTGCAATTGCATGTACGCTCCACACACACACACACTGAACTACACAAAATATAAACCCATACACACTCTGAATAAGGGGCAACATTTTTGTCACATGTGAATCTATGAAAAAAATATCCCTGGATTCACATATAAATTAAAGCCGAGGAAAAAAATACATCAATAATTTCTCTTATCGATCTTTTCTTCTTTTATGATCATAAGCACAAAGTTTAAAATAACTCATGGAATTTATGCAATAATTCAGTGTAAATGAAAGCACTGATAAGGTGAAATATTTGAGCGTTGAACGCGCTAATTACAGAGCCGAGTTAATTTTGTCTGGATAGTATAGTCTGGTGTTGTGGTGTAATTTAGTGTAGTGTTGTGCATTATAGTATGATACACTATGTGTAGGCTGTAAACAAACACACACCACTTAACACTTGTCTCAACTCAGTCCTTCTGTACGGGTCTGAAACTTGTTGTGTCACCGGAAGCATTTCCAACAGGCTTAAAGGATGATCAACTAGGAACTCTGGTAATGAAGTTGTCAAGGTCCTGCTGCTTAACAAACTTTCAGAAGTAAATGGAGATAATGGGAACACATGCTGAAGAGACTGATGACTGACATGACTCACGAGGCAATCCATCGGCTGGACCTTAAACAGGATAAGATGAAGCAAAAGAAGGATGGCGTAATTTGTCTGAGTCATGTGTGCAATATATTTGCACGCACAACACATTTCGAACAATCTGACCACACTCCACGCACTTGCCATAGGAATATATACGATGTTAGTAAAGAGTTAAGAGGTGAGTAAATAGACAAGTTAGGTCGAGTTAAAAGGACATGTTGAAGGTCAAAATAACAACGAAGACCACTAAACCAAACAGCAGAGCCAATAGTACATCTGCAGTGCTATCAAAACAAAGTTTACCAAGGAAGGTGGTTTAGTGTGATGACGAACTGTTGCTTTGAACGTATAAAGGTGGTTTAAACTTTCGAATTGACGGCTAGGGCTTCCACAAACTTTAGGATACTCCCCAAACACGTTTTATAGATAGGTTTGAAGGATGTGTCAACGTCAATTTTATGTCCTGTCTCTATAATATATTTCGAAATAGAGGAGCTACCTCTCCTGTTCTCACCATTAATGGATTCTGAAGATTCCATTTTTTTCTGGAGCCATTTAGGAATATGCTCTAAAGCCAGCCCTTACTTGCAGAGATAGATGAGTCCTCCCTATTTATGTGTGTGTGTGTCCACACGTACATTCAAATTGGTAAATACAATGGGATGTGACATCATATTTCGCATGTGTCAAAGGGCTTCGATAGATACATTGGCTTCACATTCTCAGTTATTATGATATTGGCTGGATAAAAAGTCTTTTTAACAGCAGCGTAATAGTCCCAAAAGAAGGTTCATTTAAAGTCAACTAAAAATTCAAAATTAATCATATGCTTACTGATGATTCACTAGATGACGAAATCGCTTATATTACTATAAGTGAGAACAGCGTATTCGATCAAGAAAAGTAATGTTTGAAGATGTGCAAGAGGATTAGATGAGTCCGTTGCATTGCGATGTTGTAGGATTAACTTCTAACTTCTCATAGAATCATGGCTATCTTATAGGGTCAGGACATAAAGTTTACGCTCACGATTAACTTAGGTAAAGACTTCAGCATTCAGAATACTTTCTCGAGTGGATTCTTTTCAGATGATTGATTGATTTTGAGACTGACCACGAACTGACTTTCGTTAGAGAAGTGTTCAATACTAGGGAGTATTGTATGCCTATTTCGTCCACATCCAGGACTCTTCAGTAGTACTTACCCATTAACCAGCCCGTTGGTGATCGAACTCAGGACCTTCAGGTCACAACGAGAGCTCGTATAACGGTGAACCACTGGGATGGGAGCTGATAGCCTATTAGTATTAACTTCTGTCAGTCCGTAATATACCTCGTGACATCCAGACATTTTCATCGCCGATAATTTGTCTTCACGCTCGATTCGATAAAATCAACAGGTCACAAATATGCACTGAAACTTCAAGTGATTTCATCATCAAATGAGTCACTAATGAACACCAGATTAATTTTCAAATTTTAGTTGATTTGAAAGGAACCTTCTTTTAGAACTCTTATCGAGTAATTTTGGTAGTGGTTGCGTACTATTGGAGAGTCACGTGTAGGGACGAAACAGATATCCCTTACTCCTTGCGTTTCAGCGGTTTCCTGACTGAATTCATTTCGTGATCAGTCTTGAACATCTTTTAAATCTTCGTGTAGCGGTAAATAATTCCCCAAAATAACCAGCTTACAGCATTGCTAAGTCAAGATTGGATGTTGACCTACACTGTTCAAGTCAACTCGTTAATCTAAAGGCTTATGGTCAGACATCCACGCTCTGTGGCATTCCGCGGTGTTACATTTGTTCGTTTGTGCATAATCTCTAACTAGCTAAGCATTCAACATTGTACTATATGTTCAGTCCAGAATTATATATACACTTTATCAGTCACTAGTCACAAAACAGTCATTTATATAATATTATAATTTATAGGTCTTTAAACGCAGGTACTCGCATAATACTGACTCAATAAATTATTTGAAAACCTGAAATATTGATCTGTTAGACTATGCACTTTGATCATCATTAAATTAAAGTACATTTAGTAAATAAAGTGAGGTAATAATTCAGAAATTGAAGATATATATATATATGCGTGTGTGTAAACTACAATTATGCACGTTTAAAAATTGAAGAATTTATGACTAAAGCTTCGTTTAGCTACTTTAAAATATCATTATAAGATTGTAACGACAGAAGACAAGAGTCAGGCAACAGATCGCTTATTGAGAAAATCAAAGGATTTTTATAGACTTTTATGTACATTATTATTAGCGTTATTGTTAGCAGGGAAGCAACGTCCTCTGATTGGTTGTTTTCTCGCTGAAGGTTATTCTGTACTGCGCTTGTGACCGTTTCATAGAAAGTTAAGCCATATATCTGCGAATTGTATTTGCACACCTTAAGTCTGCTGTGATTGGTTAGTTGGACTTTGTTCTTGGTTTTTTTTCTCAAGACCCAGATTTAGACCGTGAATGCTGACGTAAATTGTTGTTTACAATTTGGCTTTCAGACAGCTCTTGCCACAAGATATTCTGTAGTGAAATAGTACACTTAATTGTGAATCGGTCTTATTTACGATAACATTTTGTCATCGTTTTAGCTTGAGATTACCGTACCTCTTGAAGCAGGTGTGAATGTGTGAAATTATGCCTGGACTCGTGTTTCGATAAGGACATGACAGCACTCTCTGATAGAGGTATATTCAACTAACAATTTACTGACTTCCTTTGCTAATCATCACTCCATCAGTTAAGATAATTGATGTATAAGCTGAAGTATCTGTGGCAAATGGGCAGATTTTAAGATGCAGTCTTGACGATCCAGCAGGACAATGCCAGCCCCTTTATCTGAGCGGGTCAGAACCAAGTTTTTATTCTTTAAAATCACACATAGTTGCCTGCTGTGCTTGGCTTAAACCAATCTTATGATATTTGGTATTTTTGTTGATGTACTGATGGTAGCTATTTAATACTGTAGACTTGAATCGTTCATATGATTCGTTGGACACTGAGAGAAGGTCATTTGTCTTTAGGTCAGTGATTCAAACTAAACGTTAATATCCAAGTCAGTCGAATTTGTCGAAATGTCACAGAACTTTGGCCGCAACGACAAGGCTTGCAATTACATATGAGTTAATGATATACAAGAGTAGTTGAAAACGTATTTCTCTGGCCCGGCAGGAAAACATGGGTAAGTATCAGCGGCTTTGAGACAATTTGTGAGTTTCAGGTTTACATCTTCACAACGTTTTCTTGAAAATGAATCGATATAATCCAAAGCAAGCAACTGCGTGAGATTTTAAAGAATAAAGACTTGGTTCTGACCCGCCCCAATAAAGGTGATGGCATGGTCCTGATGGATCGTCAAGACTACATTGTTAACATTTTATCCATCATATCAGATGAAAACAAATTTTCATAAGACCACATTCTTAAGAGAAAAATGAACGAGGATTACAGAAATGTTCAGAATACTGGAGGAACAGATAGTTCTACTTTTGGGGGTCTCACTTCAAATTAAAGTACACGCTGAAGATCTCACCTAGTAGGTTGATGAAAGCTTCGCAAATCAACTATCCAGCTCAGAGAACACAACCACATCAAAACGCATTTTCTTTGGCAGGTTGTTCTTCACTTTGTAGATTACTTTGAAGGAGGCGTTTGTTGAGATGGAATGATCAGTATTGTTTGACAAGATTTTCTATTATTGCACTCCTTATACACCCAATACTTCCTTTCTGCAGCCACACTAGATAGTGTTCTTCGACCCTTTTTGACAGGATGTGTATCCTATGACTGATCCAGCCGGCTCCATAGCAACAGGTGAACTGATATATACATATAGAAGAGGTCGGGTGAGAGCTCTTATCATTTGAGCTTCTGGAGATCAGTGGGTGACTACAGAACACAAAAGTGGAAATCCTCCTCTTAAGGATATCATTGAGTAGGTTACCTTTGAAGTCGAGGTTCTTATAAAGTATCTTTTTTGGCCCAAAATGCGTCCCTTGCTTCTCGAGTTTCTGTTTGATGTTTTTACCTGTGAATCTTTGTAGATATCCGTTTTGTATGAAGATTTCTTTCAGGCAGTTTAGTTCTTCTTCCAGGGTATCAGAAGTGAAGACGCGTCGGGCGCGAGCAGCAAGGGATCCTATTGGGTTTCATTTTCGACTGACTGGTACCCAGCTGAGAAGCTTGTCAGCTTGTCATGATTTTTATATGTCTTCAGTACTATCCTGCTTTGTCATCCGCATCGCTCTTCTTTGTAATTCTCTTGTGCCTCTCATGTTGTTTCTAAAGCATCGTCCATTTAATACATCTCTTCGCCATCCAATCTTCTTGATGCAGATAAACATTTTTATGTCTGAAGCTTTATACTACTTATAAAACTTATCAGTAACCTCGGCTACACAGCTAAATGAAAATATTTTTCTGTTTAAATCTCTTTTAGATGGAAAGGAAGCTTGTACAAGCTGGTATGGGTTGATCTATTGATCTATATATTGGCCTACTATATTCTCAATTTATCGTATCGATTTGCAATGAATGAAAATCAAAAGAAGTAAGTCTGATGTTACCAGGGAATTTCTTATACTGCCGCCACCCTCTGTTTGTCATTTTCCAGCCGACCAATTTTGATTGCTCAAGTGAAAGATAAGCTACCTAGTTGTGCCACTTCCATGTGTATCTATAAATTTAGTTGCTCCTGTGGAGAAAGTTATATAGGCCGAACAACTAGACAGCTTAAACGCACTAATGAGCATTTTCCTTCATGGTTCGGAAAAGGTCAAATAAAATCCATACGAAGTTCTATTTTGGCTCATTTGATTGATAGCGGTAACCAGGTGGACAAAAGAAGTGCCTTCAAAGTTATTTATCGCATTCCATCGAGTCTTTCGAACGGAATCAGAACCTGTCTTTTACACTTAGCCGAAGCCATGGGAATTCGAGAGAACAATCCTAGTCTTTGTATACAAAGGAAATTTGTTCTACCTTTGTCTCTCCTTTGGCCTAGGCGAATTCTATTCAAAACCCTCCCACCCTTTCTTATCATCCATCTCCTTCGTACTTTTATGATATTTATTTAAACTCTGATTATCGTTCCATTTGATTTGACCTAATTTATTTATTTATTGAATTGTCTACATATATGCATATACTAACTTTGTTATTCTTATCACCTATATAAGCCTTATTATCAATATTAAATTTTTTGTATTTCCCAATGAATGAAAAACAAAACGATATTGTTTTTACTGACGTTTCACTATTTAATGCTAATAGCTTTATCAAAGTATTATTAAACCGGAATTTACAAAATCTCAGTATATATATAACAAAGAGTTAGGGGTGAGAAAAATATAGACTTAGTTCAACTTAAACGGACATATTGAAAGTCAAAATAACAATGAAGATCGTTCAAACCCAATATCAAAGGTAATAGTATATCTGTTATTATATCAAATAAAGTTTACTAACTTGATCATCGTTCGTCTATCTGGGGTCATTTTTCGTTGTCAAGTTCGAGAATAGGTAAAGGTAACCAAACTAAGTGTCGAATGTGAAATACTTGATCATCATTCGTCAGTCTGGGTCGTTTTTTGTTGTCAAGTTAGCAACTGGTAAAGATAGTAAAACCAAGTGTAGATTGTTGGATTTTGTCAGTGTGTAGAATTATGAAAGAGTGTTACATAGGAACTTGCTCACCACATTTGCGTTGATTTTGTACTTTGGGGGTGTTGTAGCCAGGTAGATTCTGTTTAGTCCATCATTCCTATTCAGCATTTGGATTCCACTTGATATGAAGTGCTTTGATATTAGACGTTCTTTGTGGTTTCTGAAGTTGTTATTATTATAATCATCGTTATTAACTTCGTTCGAAACATTTACCACATTATTATTATTTTTTTTTTATTATTTGATCCACAAAATCACCGTCATTGGTTAAAATTTTATATATATAAGTCTATGTAAATTAGAGTAAAGCCTGAAGAAGATCTAATTGAAAACAGCAATATTGTTCGCTTATATATCTTGTTCTAATTCAGTCTGCACCAATAAAATGGTTAGACACATAACAGTGGTAACTAACTAGTGTCTAATCTCAGTAGCAGATGTGTCTACAGGTCAAGTTCAAATAGATAAGCGACAGAAGAGATATGAAAAACACTTCACTCTAATATTATGCCCCATTAGAAATCATTCAAACTCTAGGCTAACTAACTAATTCCTATGAGATGAAAAGGAAACTATATAACATTCACTTAGAGAATAATGAAACAATGGTTAGTTTTGATATAACTAGTCTTTATACTAACATGACAATTAATATGGCCTTAGAAGCAGTTAAAATAAAACTAAAGGCTGATCCTGAACTCACGCATAAGACAAAGCTACCAATTGAGAAAATTATTTTAGTAGTTCAGTTATGCCTCATATCTTTAAATTCTAAGGCAAAATATATAGACAAACAGAAGGTGTAACAATGCGATGAATCACCAATATCCCCTGTTGTAGCAGACATATTTATGGACAGCTGGGAAAGTAATGCTCTTAATACATTTAATCCTATTCCAAAAATATGGTGGAGATATGTGGATGACACTTCCACTCTCAGTGTTAAAACAGAACATATCTCTCTCTAGCTTCTTGACACACATATAAACTCACTAGTAAAGGGAATAAAATTCACATTTGAATTTGAAAATGAACAAGGAGAATTAGCTACGGTGTTAGATTGTAAAATAAAAAGAAAGGAACAAGGAAGACTGCACACTAGCGTTTATAAAATCCCGACACATTCTGCTAATAGATATTTCCCGACCGAAAGCTGCTACCTTGACGTGGTGGTCGGGCTTGAACACCGCAATGACCTAATCAAGCTATACTGGCTGAGACTTATGTCTCTTGAGGTCCTACCATGCCAGGCAGGTTGTTTGGATAGCGGTTAAACAAAAAGCAGCTACCCAATCCAACATCATGATCAATACAAAATCACAAAATTTCATGCCGGATCGGCCGTGGCCCGGATTAACAACGACCGCGCTTCCTGCTGTCGTGTCACAGGGCAGGAGTGATAAGTATGCTACTGAGGCACACCAAACAAAAGAGAACAACAAAAACAGGCCGCGTGTGACCGGCCTCAAGCAGTTGTCCCCTGGGCTCTGCGGTCACGCAACCAACTTCCACGGTGTGGGCAGCCGGGAAGTAACAACCGCCCTCACAACCCGAAACGCACGCAGACATTAATTTATCTCATCCGTTAACTGTTAAGGCAGGCTTAGTTAGGTGTCTAACAAACCGAGCAGTAACACTAAGTAGCACAAGAAAAACCTAAATGATGAAATAAAACAGGTAGAAGAAGCGTTGGTGTTAAATAACACTAACTATCTTATAAAATTCATTAGGAAGATCAGAAAAGGTCAAGAGCAAAATAAAAATAATTGTGGAACTAGTAATAACAACATGAATAAGAAGGAATATAAGGCATCTACAGTAGATTCACCATATAAGGAGTGGACATCTGAGACCCTATGTAGGATTTTTAATAAAACGGGAATTAGAATGGCATTCAAACGTACAAACTCACTCATTCAGTCAGGGACAAGCTCTGTAGGCTAAAGAACCTGGTGGACCCAATCAAACAAAATAATATAATTTACAAAATACCTTGCAATGACTCTGAGTGAGATCAACTACATAGGTCAAACTAGTAGATCGGAGGTAGTCAGATTGTCTGTCAAAACATAAGAATTTATCTACAGTTTGATTGGTTCGCCCTGAAAAGATAAGTAATTCAGAGAAAAGCTCAGGAATTGCACTGCTTGCATTAACACGCAACCACACAGTAGGTTTGCAGAGGGTTTAAATTCTAAGAAGTAATCTAGGTAGGTGGAGAGAGAGACTGGTTAGTGAATCCTGGTTCATTGAGTCTACACCCAAATTATGCAATACGAATGACTCTTCACTCATACCGGAAATATGGAAAATACTACTACCAATCAAATCAAGCGATGGGAAATAATGGAATTATATAAAGGAGGTTAGAAAGTTGTGTTGTAACAACAGAAGACAAGGGCCAGACAACAGATCGTTTATTAAAGAAATCAACTCCTATTTATAGATTTTCATGTACATTATTGTAGATTATTGTTAGCAGGAAAACACAGTCTTTTGATTGGTTGTTTCTCATTGAATGTTAATCTTTCATCTCTTTGTGGCTGTTTCTTGAATGCCAGATCATCTCTCTGCTAACTGTATCCGCCTACACAAAATCAGTCTTTGTTTATCTTTTCTCACGACCAATATTGAGGACGTAACTATTATTATTTATATTATTGTATCCTTTAGTTCCTAGAGGAACATAGGGCTTCAGCTGCGCACCTCCATTGCCTACCTACACCAAACTGTTATGATAACAGACTCACGTTGCTGAAAACTAATGAGTAGTGTTCGACTTTTTCGTCCTAGTTTGGGTCTCCTCATGAGTAAGTACCCACTAACCCACCAGGGTTTGAATCTCAGATCTTCACAGTCACAAACTCGTACGAAACACCTCTCCAGTGCCGCTTGATTTTCAAAGATTCTCTGACTGACAGACTAACTCTTGAAGACTGACTGCTATGAGATGTACAATATAGGAATTGTTGGTTTTTTTTCTAAAATTCATTCGCAGAAATGAATAATCTTCATAATTTTTTCTATGATCTCTTCCTTGTTTTCATCACTCCACTTTATTTTAGAACTTTTGAAGAAATTGTTGAATTCTGTGAAAAAACTAAAGGAGACATTCCAATATCTTTCCTGCTGGGTTTCTTCGTGGCTGGTATCATAACACGTTGGTATCAAATGTATCTGTTTATCCCATGGATGAATCAGATAGCACTTCAAGTAGCTGTGAGTCCGTCTTATTTACTTTTTATTGTTTTATTATCCCCTTGAGTTACTCTCATGAATAATAATTATTATTACTATTTCCTTGGGTTTCGAGCGGAACATAGGGCTTCAACAACACATCTCCACTCTAATCTATTTTCTGCTGTCCTCTACACATGGATCTAACATTGTTCATAATCTTTCAACTCCTCACTAGACGATCTCTTCCAAGCTACCTTCGCACCGACGACCCTTTCGTTACTTCTTATTGGGATTCCACTAGAGCACTACCCTGCATTGTACGCAATGTCATTCAATGGCCTCCTTAACGTAAGCCCTGTCCATCTCCGTTTACTCCCACATGTTTATCAAGCGACCGATTCTTAATTATTGAATTGAATTTTTGATTTTCCCGTCGATTGATTGGACCGAAGTGTTCGGTCTCAGGTTGACATGTCGGCTTCTTGTGCAGATGCTTCGACGATGTCTGGGGATTTGATTTGTATACAATTGGTGGATGGTGGCTAGCAGTGGAATCCAGGATAAAGCGCATTTCGTCCTAATTGGGACTCGTCAGCTGGATGTACCTGCATTTCTCAGTGAGTGATGATCTTCCCACCGAGGCTCGAACCCAGTACCCATAGTTTCAAACGCCAAAGCGTTATCCACTAGACCACTTGGGCCACGACCTATTCTTAGTTGGTTTATTCTTAGCCAGAGTTTCTTGTCGCTGATTCTTTGCGGGAGGCTGGCCATTTGATCTTCAACATGGAGCCAGTCAGCGAATTGGGAAGCTGTTGGTAAAGTCTGCAACCTGTTAAAAATTCCTTCCGTGACACACTGTCCACGTTTCTCGCCCGTATAGAAGCCCTGACTGAGTGACTGACTTCACATTTCTATTGAAAATCTGAATCCCATTCTTCATGCTGTCCGAGTGCAGAAGATCTCCGAACAGGTTGCAGGTTGATGAAGGCATATTTTGCATTCCTGATTTTGGCTGGCTTTGACATTTTCATGTATTCCAACTGCCCGCGTTTGAAACCATGCTTCCTAGCCAGATAAATGAAGGAAGTGACCTCTGTCAAATCTCTCCCACTGGTGGTGATTGGTTCTGGTTGTTGTCGCTGTTCGTTGTTTGGTTATCTTCACCACTTCCGTCTTTTCTGTGTTGATCTGGAGTCCTGTTTTTATTGGCTGCTTTTTCAGCTAGTTTGTTGCTTTTCACCTGCAAGTCTTCAAGTTTGTATGACATCTGAGAAATCCAGATCTTCTAGAGGCTTCTTATAGGTGGTCAAACGTTTTCCTGTCTTCGCTAATCCCTACCCAGTATGACGCATAATCCAGTCCATCACAATTAAGAAAGCATGAATAATTTTAGACAATATAAACATTTACCACAAAGATTTTCATTATATGTAGTCCCAAAACATATTCACTCTTAATTCAGGATTTACATGTAAACTAATAATACGAAGTATATGATGTGACATAATGCTGTCGCATATGAATTGAGAACCAGTTCTGTAGGCTTTTTCCACATTCCCAGGATGAATTACAGAGCGTCTAGGTGGAAGCTAATTAAATTAAATATTAGAAAGAAGAGAACACGAAGTTCAGCAAAGATATCTTTTCGGCGATTTCATTCTCAAAAGCTGTACAATCGCATTTACATAGATTATTTTAACATGGATAGAATTATTATTTGTTTAATTTCACATAGTTCTCTCCTTTCTAATGTCCATATGGGTATTTTCCAAGAACTTAAATTAAATATGCCCGCGAGTTTATGTAGTGATCATCTGATATAATTGTATGATTAAAACAATAAGAAATGTAGAACAGTTTAAGCAGCATTTTAATGAATGGAAATTCTGGTAACCCAGTGATTTAAACAGGCCACCAGTAGAATACTAGTGGAACATAAAGTTACAGTGTAACAACAGAAGACAAGGGCCAGGCAAAAGATCCTTTATTTAGGAGATCAACACCTATTTATAGATTTTCATGTACATTATTATAGATTATTGTTAGCAGAAAAACACAGTCTTCTGATTGGTGGTTGTTTCTCACTCACTGAAAGTTAACCTTGCATCTCTTTGTGGCTGTTTCTTGAATGTCAGATCATCTATGTGTTAATTGTATCCGCCTACGCAAAGTCTGCTGTGGTTGCCTGTTGAATCAACCTTTGTTCATATTTTCTCACAACCAATAATGCGGACAGAAATATTGACGTAAATTACTGTCTACCACTTTTGGTTAGCAGCCGGCTCTCAACGCAATAGCAGCACACCTCCATTTTACTCTGTCTTCTGCTATTATTTTTACCCAGTTTAATATCCCCTTAGAAGCGATGCTAATATTATCGCTTCCCACTTAGATTCCACTTGAAGGTCTGGTACGTGAAGTACATCAACAGCCTGCTCAGTATATATCAGGTCAATCAATATTTTATTCTGCTTATTTTTGAAGCAGTAGGTTCTTGCCTTCTAGTTCGTTGCCTGTCAGTGTTTCTAGCTACTTATTCTTTCTCTCTGGCCAATTGATCTTTAGTATGGAGAAAAAGTGTCTGTGGAATGTTTTTTGTGACGCACGCATCAAGTTTGTGAAGCAAACAGAAGTACTGACTTCACATTATGGTTGAAAATCTGGATACTCTTCTATATGGAAAGTTCATTTCACTAGCCACTGCTAAGCCGTAAACAAGTCAGCAGGTTGGGTGTATGTCCAGCTATTCGACTCTGGAAAACCAATCCAATCAGTGTAGAAACTCCAAAGACTTATTTATTTGAATTAGTAAAAACTGCTTTCACTACCGGATAAGAAAACATTCTATGAAGACGATACATAGTAGATTACTAGCAATCGAATCTAATGCATGCATGCATCTTGTCCCATTTTTTGGACCCGTCCGATGAATTCTCCTGCATCTCAGTGAGTAGTTCCTGGGCCTATTGGAATTGGAAGCTAACAGTTGGGGCTTGCGATTTTAATATAGGAGGAACTAAATGACAAGGAATTTGAAAATCTCAATTTATTTGCCAGTTGCTTTAAAGTTATTCCAGGAATCTTTCCCCGCTCAGCTCCTTTTTCTCTTCGACTTTATTAGCAGTTGATAAGGACATAAATTGATCGACTGGCCATGATGTCAGTAAAGTGAAATTTACCAATCACAGAACGTGTGGGTTGCCTACACGTGCATACGCGTTAGTCTGATAATCTACTGATATTGGGGTACTGTATTTATAAAATATGGAGAACCTTCGATTCCTAGAACTTACAGTATGCATACAGATAAACAGATTTATGCTCAGTTGTCTATCTTTCAGGTGTATTTTGGCTCCAAAAACCTGAGGATTTGTAGATTTAGTTTGAGTGAAATTTCGACTGTAAGGATTGTATTTGTGGAAACAACAAGTTAACACTCGTATATATATGAGCATAACAGCAATACTCGCTCTGCGGAGGCCTGGGATCTTGTCCAGTCTACTGTTGATAACCTGCAAACAAAGGATAGTAAACGCTAGTGAATTTCTGCTATCTTATCCCAGCTGACCACAGAAAGGTGACTGATGCCACTAAACCGTGAGCGCAGTGTAGCACAAACGCTGGTCAATAGTGAGTAGACAATGTGATAGCCTCATTTAGAATTCCGCATCATGCCTCATGTTTGACTCTGGGAGATCCTGAGCTATCCATCAAAGTGCATGTGTATTTTGAAGCAGTTCGAACTATCCCATCCATTGGCTGTTAGACAATACTTCCCTCCAATCAGCTGCCCACTTCACCTACACCAACATGATAAGCAATAATTAGACTAGACACAACGTGTTCAGTCAGAACGAATACTTAGTCGAAGGGGTTGTGAAGCCGGATGGATTAAAATAGCTAGGACGTGATTTATGTATGTCACGCCAAATATGAAAGTGCATTTTGCTTGGCTGATGATCTTTGTATACCAAGAATCAATATTTGGGGAACATTTATAAAATATGTTATCAAGCTGAAGTTTTAAAGTTCCACCTCGCTTCTTAACCCACCTTGCCACCAGGTGAGTGAGGTTTAGGAGTACCCTGGAGGGGAATCGAGCCCGAACCATGTTTGTGGTTGGCGAGAGTTTTACCGCTGAACCACCGACGCATATTCTCGAGATCTCTTCACTTAATGAGAAATTATTTTTCAGTATTTAATTGAATTTTACATTCTCCCTTCGATTAATTGGACCAAAGTGCCCGGTCTCAGGTTGACATGTCGGCTTTTTGTGCAGATGCCTCGACGATGTCTTGGTATGGACGTCGCTGTGGAGTTTGAAACTATGGGCACTGGGTTCGATCCCCAATGGGAACATCATCACTCACAGCGGAATGCAGGTACATCCAGTGACGAGTCCCAAATAGGACGAAATGCGCGTTACCCTGGATTCCACTGCTAGTCAGCATCCAAAATTTAATTTGTTAATTTTTGAAAAACGAGAATAACTACCTGACTGTCCGACTGAGTTTTAACATAGGACTGTGAAATTACAGAGGATGAGTTCATGTGCAGTAGGAAGAACATTTCTGAGGCATATTTCTAACAGTATCAAGCCACTGGTTCCTAGAATCTTGAGGACACAATCCAGTCAATATACACCTCCACACATAGGTCAAACTAAATGTCAAAGAATTCGTCGACTGACACCAGGTTCTGATCTGATCCTGCATAACTCTTTCCCTACCTCATTCTTTGTCAGATAGCACTAACCGTCGAGGAAGGCGGTAACTCGACATGCTCAACAGTTGTCCTAGCCATCAAAATCAATATATCTTCAAAAATTCACCTATTGACTTCTCTTCTTTACCTAACCTCATTATTACTCCCCGTATCACACCACTTAACTCGGCAGATAGAGCATCTAATGGTCAGAGACAGCCAGAATAACCATTCAGAAAAATACATTAACTCTCTTTTTAAATGTTTTCTTTATTTTTCATTTTCAAAGTCAAGCATCAATGGAAAAAATCAAGAAGGATCAAGAAAAATTCGTCTAACAATAATGCGTTACATGAATCTAGCCTGGGTACTTATGATGAAGCGTATATCAGATCAAATTGCCTGTCGTTTTATTAAAAATGAAACAGGCAGTGTTCCAAGCGCCTTAGGACCTGTTCTACCCAAGCGTAAATCAACTAATCATAAACATTTAATAAGTAGAAATACATGTCAACCATGGTCAATTGATGCTAGTGAAGTAGTTCGTCCAGCTCCATCGAAATCTGTACTTCAACAACAAACATCCCAGAATTCAGCTCAACTACAACAAAATAAGATTGACTACTCGTCAATGAATGCAAATAATTATAATAACAATAATAGTAATAATAATAGCAACCTGTATGGTCGTCCTCAAACACCAAATATCCCAGATGTGCATACACCATTGGCACCTTTAGCAGCTGATGAAGAGTGTGGTGCACTACCGGATGCATTCGAGGCAGCAGATGTTGTTGAACTCAGAGAGACATTCAGAGCGTTCAATCAAGATCAGAGTAAGAGATATTTGTACATTATTCTTTTCTATTATATATTCAGTGTATAAAAAGCATACCATCCGAATTCTATTCATTATCATTTGTAATCTAACCAACAACTAAATTACCTTGATAGCCTAGTGCACTATGTGTGTAAATGAATGTTCGGAGGAAATAATCAGAAGACCGACAGGTGGTATATGGTATTTCTTACTACCGTTGAACGGTTGAAGGCAATCGGAAGGAACCCATGATCATAAGTTTCACACTTGCTGGCGCCCGCCAACAGGACATGACTGTAACATTAAGGGGTTCGAGCCTGTGATACCCAAAGCTGCAGTCAGAGAAGTTAACACTGCTATTCGGTCTCACAACCGACTTCCTGTAGGACTGTGAGGCGTACATTGTTTGGTTACTATGAAGCAACTAATTTGATTCGTCTATTCCTGTGTCCCGGTCGCTGACTGAGTTCCATCAGTCAGGTTTCCAATGTTGTCACCAAGCTAGAGGTTTCGCCATCTTCGTTAAATGAGAAGCGCCTTCAAATTTCAAGAAAAAACCACTTAGTTAGGCTTGTGAGATAATTTTTGCATCATGTAGGATTTTCGGAGTTCTTAGAGGAACATGTTATGTACTGCTGAGTGGTTAATAGAGTTTTCCCCGTCGCCAATTATGTTATGTACTCGTCGAGTAGTTAATAGTCCTGACGCGGAAAGAGGGAAATCAGAAGACCACCAGGTTTACGATGATACTTGTATTTTCCAGACAAGGAAAATAAATGTCACGCAAGTGTGTGAGTGAAATGGTACGTAGTGTACGAAAAGTATGTGAACAAGTATGAACAAGTATACAAAGCAAGAGTATATATGAAAATGACCAATATACATAAACCAATAGACAGTCATCTTACCACGATTGGTTGTAATGTAATGTGATAATAAGGTCATACATGTTTATTTAGTTAGTGGACAGACAAAAGCATATTGTCAGTTATAATGAAATATCGATCCATATACACATAGCAAAATATAACAGACTGTCAAAAACAAAACACACATCATGTGTCTACATATCAGAACATAGGACTTCAAGATTTGAAGTTTCAGTGAAGATGAAACTATAGGCTAGACGACGTTTAGGAGTGAGTCAACTGGGAATTGGGCAGAGACTGCTGATGCGCTTGGTAAGCATGTTACTACTGAACTACCGATGTAACCACTATGACATAAGTGGTTGAATAAAGTTTGTTCCCATCTTTAAAAATGCACGATTGTTCTATAGTTTGGTTTGTAAGGGTTAAAATTGTTTTTATGAGTTGATCAAGGATTGATATCGATTAGGGAAGCATTGCAAACCAAAACTGGAGTACTGGACAGCTGTTTCATCCTAGTTCGGGAACAGAATAATAATCTGATGCTCGCTAGTGACTTGTAACAGGATGGAGTTTCCTGGCGTTCTAGTGAAAATTCGTGACCAGTGAGGTCAATCCAGATATCACGTGTGAGGATGGGGTCGCGCTAAATCACGAATTGGTAGAAGTTAGAATTCATGAGACATTGAATCGAGTCCCAGTGGCTAAATGGTATACGAGCTAGCTTGCCTTGTAACCGGAAGGTCCTGTGTTCGAACCCGCAGTGTGGGTGCGTACTGCCGATGATTCCCAAACTAGCACGACTGTCCCCCATGTTTCAGTGAGATCTTACTAAGTGAAAGTAACAGAAGTGCTAGGCTTGGCTAATTGACTTTCTGTTGATGGATACCAATAAATTTGCAGCAGGTCAAGTCAGGAATAGCAGAATAACATTCCCGCGATGTCTGATTATTGATTTATTGACAACCAGAGAGTTCACAATTATCGCTCTAAATAATTTCACTTTAGGTCATAAATGACTTCAGCTACAGAGCCACTGTGCATCGGTAGCACGGTGGTGGAATGTTTGCCGACCACACATGTGGTAAGGGGTTCGATCCCTGGCCTCCGACTCATTCCTTTATCTAGCTAAGCTAGTAATATGACTGGTAAGGAGGGTAGGTTGTGCGTGAGGCTAGCAACCCCATCCCGTAAAAATAAACACCACTGGTACCAAAACTTCGAGCCTCTAGCCGAGAGCCCCCTATGCTCCACTGGGAACGTGAAGGAATGAAAAAAACAGAGCCACTGGAGACCAGGGAGTACTGCAAAGTTGTTTCTTTTTGGTTTAGGACTTTTCAGTTGTACTCATCCATGGACACACCGGAGTGGGAACCTATGACCTTCAAGTTACAAGGCAAGTCCGTTAATCATGGAACTACGGGAAAACAATCCAATGAATGGACCATGAGAGTTCATGACCAGTAAAGTCGACCAAGTCAGATGTGAAGATGGATACTCACTAATAATAGCAGATGGCCACCTTGCTATAGGTCGCAATGAGCGAATAGTCAGGGTATCGCCTCGTTAACTGAAGGTTCCAGGTCCGATCCCTGTTGGGCGGAAGGGGATCATGGGTACTTAATGATGAAGACAGTTGGACTAGGATGAAACAGCTGTACAGCATTCTCTGGCTTTCAATGACTCTCTAACTGAATTCAGTTTGTAATATAAACTAAAAACGAGAGAGCTACTGGCGCAATCATCCCATCTGAACTGGATGGTTTAGTTGCTTAGCTTTCCATGTCTTTCTAGAAAGAATCACTACATCGTCCAGCTCAAAGAACAAAACAATACTAATATCATCCACCTGAGCTACAGATCTCCGTCATATATCTACCGGGAGAGATACTCAATTTGCCTGAGTCCTTATGCCAATAACCTGTCGGTCTAAACTTCTAAGTTGAATAGAAAGTCAAATAAAAGCCACGTTAAATCTGAAATCACTTTTCCAGTTAAACAAGGGAGACTAGTGAAAAATAACGAATCTAAGACTAAACATTGAGTGCGCATTTCTTGAGAAATAGCTGTCTTGTCACTGACTTCATAAAGCAGTGCTGGTTACCACACAGTAAAGGAACTTGAACAGTGGATTTATTCAATTTACAAAACTGAACCATTTTTAACCATCTACACATAAGATAGTCATATTTTACTTGTTTTGTTGTGATTTTCATGCATAATCCTTATCGAGACATTTTTTTCCTACACGTTCCCAGTGGAACATAGGGCTTCAAGGTAGAGGCTTGAAGTTTCTGTAGCAGTGTTTATTCTTACAGGATAGGGTTGTCAGCCTCATGCCCAACCTTTCGTCTTCATCAGCTTTACTTCTGGCTTAGCGAGGTAAAGGAGTGTGTTGGCCGCAGATCGAACCCTGGACTATGTGCATTGTCGGCGAGCGTCCTAACCGCTATATCACCATTAGTGAAAAAAAACATCTAGTTCAGTTAAGAGGCTCTTTTCGGCGTATTCATCATTCTCTTTAGCTGTTCAGTTGCATTTACTACAGTTTATTACCATGAAAGAGGGCAGTAACAAAAATGACAAGTTGTCATAATCATAGTTGGTAATATTACTCAGTATATAAAAGGAGTTGGGTATGTGTAATAAAGTTACGTAAGAGTTCTAAAGAAATACAAGAGTTATAAGGAGTTAGAAAAACAAAGAAACAAATGTCAAGTCATTAGAAATCAGAAATGTTGTCACCATGATGGTAAAAGTGATTGGATGATTTCTTTTTGTATATACAACTCTGGTTTCTTCAACTGCATGGCTAGAGCTTCAAAAATTCAAATGAAACGAAAGATTACTTCTCATGGAAAATTTCCATTGTAACATATAGAAAATCAAAACAAGTGGCGATTCAGCAAAGAGACTCTTTTCAACAACGAATTTATCATCAAGCTGTACAATCGTTTTTATATGGTATTTTAAGAAGTTATGTGGTGACAGCAGGCTAGCCAAAAATACTAGACAGTATTTTACGTCAATGGGTATGTCACAAATATTGCTGGTGAGAAAATATGAACAAGACTGATTCTACAACCAGTAACAGCAGACTTTGCGTAGGCAGATACAGTTAACATATAGATGACCTGACATTCAAGAAACAGTCACAAAGAGATGCAAGGTCAACTTTCTGTGAGAAACAACCGATCAGAAGAGAGTGTTTTTTGGCTTGAATAAGCTATAATAATGTACATGAAATATATATATAAATACGTGTTGATTTCCTTAATAAACGATCTGTTGCCTGGCCCTTCTCTTCAATTGTTACAGTTATATCCGGTGAGGTAATTGAATCATAGGTGTGAATGTATAAAATAACAGCAGTATGAAATGCAATTGAAACTAAAATGTTTGTGATTATAATCACAGGTAAATGTCAAGTGGTAAAACAAATTATTGTCATATATAGAATAATTCATAGGAGGGATAGAACTTGAAAAAGGGTGTGCAATTATAGGATTAGTAGACAAATCGAATAAAATAATAACGTCACGTAATACTGTGTAAAATTTGATAGCATCGCATTTAACGTTGCAAAAAAAAGAATTGATTTAGAATGACAAGTGCAATAATACCTCGGACAGTTCAAAGTGAGAGTAGTAATGGTAACATTTAACTTAATAAGGAAGAGTATACAAATTGAATAGACAAAATGAAAAACTGGTAGAGCTAAAATATGATTGGGGATTACCATACTTTAGCATAGAGGGATTAAGATCATGAAAGTTGGAGGGATTGAACGAACTTTTTCTGCACACAAAGATCAGACTTTTCTGTTTCGATAGCCTAAGCTTCAGCAACACAAATGAGTTGGGCACGTAGAGATTTCGGTATATTACTTTTTGCCTCGTAGACGACTTTAAAGGTGGAGGCTATAGAGATAGGATGATCATTATCGACCAGGTGTTCAATGATCGCGCTTCTTATTGCTCCACTTCCACCTCTTCGTAAATATGCAGGATAGTTTTAATTGCATTTCATATTATTATTATTATGCATTCACACCTATGATTCAATTCCCTCACCCCTTCGCTGAATCACCACTTGTTTTGATTTTCTGTTATTACTTCTGCTAGGTTGTTCTTCACTTTGAAGACTACTTTGGAGGATGAGTTTGTTGAGATGGAATAATCAGTGTTGACATAGTGTTCAATTATTGAATTGCTTAAAGAGCCACTACTGCCTATCTGCTGCCATGCGGTATGGTGTTCTTCAGCCCTTTTAGACAGGATACGTGTCGAACTATCAAAGTACCTGACTGGCTCTACAGCAACAGGTGAACTGATATATGCCCATAGAAGTGGCCAGATTTAAGATCTTATCCTTAGGAGTTTTGCAGGTTAATGGGCGACAGGAGGACACTGCTAAGAGCATTGCTGAGAAGATTGTTCTTTTCAGAGCTGCTGTCATTCTTCTCTTTACCATATTGCAAGCTAAGTCTCCCTTGAAATCCACCTTCATGTAAAGTTCCTCTTTTGGAATTAGGAATGTTTCGTTTCTCTGAACTTCTAGTTTGATATTCTTCCCGATAGATCTTGGTGGATATCCATTCTGGATGTTTTCTTTAGGCAGATATAATTCTTCCATTATGGGTAAATTTTGTTTTGATAAAGTCTCACAGTGTTATACAGTAATGTTTACTGATGACGTTTCGAGCACAATTTATTGCTCATAATCATATCATATCACCTTGATATGATTATGAGCAATAAATTGTGCTCGAAACGTCATCAGTAAACATTACTGTATAACACTGTGAGACTTTATCAAAACAAAATTTACCCATAATGGAATTACACTCTACCACAGTGCACAAGTTTTATTCTTATATCAAAGATATAATTCTGCTTCTAAGGATTACATGACTAAAGATGCGTTGGATGAAAGTGGCAAGGGATTTAACTGGATTTCGTTTTCGTTCGACAGCCACCCAACTATCGAAACCCGTCAGATGGCCGTTCCATAGGGATTTCCTATGAAATGACCTTCTGACGGTGACACCAGGTCTTCTTTTTGGTTTCACATCAAGACAGGGAATTTTAGATCCGTTTATTATTTCCAGAATGCATTTTATTGCCAGATGGCAGTTCTTAACTCCCTATAGGAATTTATTACAGCCATAGATGTGGTTTGAAATGATGAACATGTCACCCACATACCTTGAATACAGTTGTGGATTTTCAGTAGCCGACTTTCATGGACTATTTTTCAGGCTTGCCATGAAACAGCCTGCTAGAAATGGAGCCAAGGGAGGTCTGATTGTAATGCCATTTCTTTGTCTGTAGATGGTACCATCGAAAGTGAATTATACATTAGAGTCATACCTCAACAGCACTTCTTTCAAATACTTTGTTTATATTCCAGCGTCTAACTTTTGTTAATGAATCGATGAACTGGAAAGTGTTTTGAAGCGAGATTCTGGTTATAAAATCTCTTATTCTTACTCAAGAGTTAATGTGTATCGCCGATGACAGTTACCGTATACTAAGGAATGGCAGAGGTTAGTACCAGTTGGCTGATGAATTTCAACCCGTTTGGTGAATAGTAACGTGTCTACCGCACAGTCTGAAAGATTTGGTTTTGATCCTTAGTCAGGAAGTACATGAGCATTAATAAAGAGCATTAAACCGTCATTTCATTACGCTTCATATGAATTCTCAACAAAATGTATTAGATGATGAAAATTCATTATCAATTATGTATTCAGTCTAATGAATCAATAACTTTTAAAATAGCGCGCTAAATTTTCAATGTTCAATAATAGCACGATTACATATATATATTCCCGTTTGTTTTTATTCTTCTTTCTTCAATAGAAGTGAAAGGTTCATTTGGTGTATTAATCACTGAAGCAGAAATATCATCGTTTGAAAGAATAGCAGCCGACTGGTTTAAAAGAACTAAAACCAATTATACACCAGAATACTGGATACCAATACAATGGGCACAAAGATTAACCCTGAAAGCATTGGATAGTGGATATATTAGTGATCCCAAAGTGGCATTTTATACAGTTGAAGTAAGTTTATACAATATAAGACAGAATAAAGATGATAATGATGACTGAAGCTCGAGTATTCTGGCATCAGTGCTGTTGAGGAGTCCAAAACAAAGACAAAACAGTCACCTAGTTATCCATAACCCTTAACGACTCCTTAATTCTCAACTTTTGGTTTAAAGGGATTCGACTGATCTCAAGTTTGTTTGTGAAGTGACTTCAAGGTCAAGGAACCATTGAAAACGAAGTAGTACTGGACAGCTAGCTATCTCGTCTTTGTTTGAGACGCTCCAGCAACACATACACATGACCTGAGTATATTTGGTCACTGGAATGGAATCCAATGAATTCTTAATCAAACCAATTCGCCAGACAATGTCACCAGCAATTCCTCTAGTGTTTATATTATTTGGCAATCCCACTTCTCACCAGTACTTTAGGCAAGATCACCATGTGGTCAGTCACTAGTAAACGATACATTAATTCTCAACTGTTGGTTTGCAGAGGATATACCGATCACACGTTATTTTGTCCTGTCTCGGAACTGTTCAGCAGATGATCAAACCCAGGATCTTCAAGTTACAAGGCGACCTCCTTGACCGTCCCCTAATCGATATCACTTAGTTCCAGGATGACTGTTGGTGGTCAAGGGTTCAGGTTTGGAACCGGTAGTTGACTGGAGTCGGAGTGGTCCAATTCCTGCTTCCTGACGTCTGTCTGCCGGCTTGATGCATTAGTAACTTAGTGGTAGAATACTGACCCACAGCAACATAAGTGTTCCATTGTTTGATAGCCGACTGATATACTCCTTTATCTCCCTTAACAGGTAAACAGGGAATGCTGGATATGAAGCTGGAGACCCCACCCCGTAAAAGATGAATCACCACTGCTAGTTAAAACCCAAAGCTTAAGCTTTAAGCCCTATGTGCCTCTGGGAATGTAAAAGGAATTCCTCTGAATATTTTCAATAATGTAAGAAAGAAGATCGTTAGACCTTAAAAAAGGACTCTTCTATTTAAAGACTGGATACTGAACAAAGAGTACTCTTTTCGATAACTTTATCATCAGGCTCTACAGTTATATATACATTATAGTGAATGGATGAATGAATTAGTGTTATGAACAGCACTAATGTTGTTTAAATAACATCGAATCAATAATAATATCAATGGATTACAGCTCAATAGTATCAACATAAAATTAGCTGAATGTCAGAAGAATTAGGAAAGATAATATTACAGATTCATGAATTTATAGTGTCTACTGAAGGCCAGCCAGAGCAGTAGTAAGGGCTAGACGCGCTTCTTTTGAACACAGAGTACTGGTTGTTTGAGGCGAATTGCAATGGCCTCTGTTGTTTGGAGCATTCAGTGCTTCGATGATTTTTGCAATTTTTTAGGCACCCGGTAGATGATGGTAGAGAAGGATTCTTCTACGCTGGCTTTGTGGCCGGTTTGCACCAGATGGTCCAGTATCGAGCTGTTTGTGGTTTTCACTACACATTTACTTAGCCACAGTAGGATATGTTCTCGAGGACGAGAAATCAAGTTCCTAAAGCAAAGCCCAATATAACTTGCTCAACAAGCGCATTTGAATTCGTAGATACAATTTGAAGTGGCTAGTCTAGGTATTTCATCTTTCAGTCGAGGTTGCACCATCGGTCGAGTAGAGAATAAGACGTTTAGTTCGCCAGCATTAAAGGTTCTTTGAAGTGATTTTCTTAATTTCCTCGTAATTGTCTCACTTGGTATATCACCCTTGAATTGTAGTCATATATAAACAGGCTTCTTGTTTACTGATAGTGAGTAGTCCTTTTCCGCTTTCTTTGTCATGTGTTTCTTGTTAAATTTGTTGGGATAGCCACTTTTGATCAAAGTATCATATACAATGCTTAATTCATCTTCAATTACTTCCTCTGAGCATATAGCTCTAACTATGTGGCTGAAGGTCTTCACTAAATTTCACTCTTCTTTTATCTCACGACTTCACCTCAACATCTAACAACCTATAAGCTGATATCAGTATACATGACATACTTTTCAAGGCCACTTTTATAAGTTTAAACGTAGTAATGAAACAAAAGATATGAATACAAGACTTGGATTGTAGAGATTCAGTTTGAGTCGAAAGAGTAAGGACAAATAAACGCTCATGATATAGCTTGACGATTGACTTAAAATCAAGAACTAGCAGAATTTAGAATTCATCAGTTATTGAATTCCAGCCCGAATGACCTCATAACCTAAAACTCCTGGGTGGGTACTGATGAAGAGTCCCTGTTTAGGATGAAACACCTGTCGAGTACCATCTAGTGAGTTGACATTAGTGTTAAAGATTCGAATTTTTCTGTTCTTCATATTTAGCACAGAAGATTTCCCCCACCCCCCCCGTGATTTCAGACAAATGTAGGTCCGTCTTGCTTCTCTAAACCTACTTTTGACATCCTGTGACTTACCTGCTGCCTGTAGCTGAAATGAGATGCTGTCCAGGTGAGGGAAAGGCGTTCCACTCCCTTCAAATTTCTCTTACCAATGGTAACTGATGCTTGTTTTTGCTGTTGTTGTTGGTTGGTTGGTTGGTTTGTCATCTTCATCACTGTTGTCTTCTCCATGTTCACTTCAACTCCTGTCCGAAATCTTTCACACTTTCTTTTCAACATTCAACGATGTATATCCCTCATCATCTTGATCCACACACGGTCTACTGCGTTATCCATTCCGAAAACAATCAGGAATGTTATCAATGATAGTGCGGCAGACTAGTTTTACTCCTATTGTAACAACAGAAGATAAGCGCGAGGCAACAGATCGTTTATTAAGGAAATCAACACGTATTTATATATATATTTCATGTACATTATTATAGCTTATTCAAGCCAAAAAAACACTCTCTTCTGATCGGTTGTTTCTCACAGAAAGTTGACCTTGCATCTCTTTGTGACTGTTTCTTGAATGTCAGGTCATCTATATGTTAACTGTATCTGCCTACACAAAGTCTGCTGTTACTGGTTGTCGAATCAGTCTTGTTCATATTTTCTCACCAGCAATATTTGTGACATACCCATTGACGTAAAATACTGTCTACCATTTTTGGCTATCCTGCTCCCACCACACTATGGCTTCACTTCGAATGCTTTGCATAGCTTTCTGTTGTGAATCACCTGACACTTCACAACATTTCAGTAGCTTGAAACTCCCCAGTGAGTCATATGAAGAAGAGAAGACATTCAGCGAGGAGACTCTTTTCGTCAGCCAATTCATTCACATATCTGTACAATCGCATTTATATATAACTACTTTGTGTGTGTGTGTGTGTGTGTACATGACATTTGTCAAGTTCATATAATTGATCAGGTAATACAAAAATGATCTAATATAGAAACAAGGTTACTCAGACAGCAACTAAAGTAAGATTGAGTTAGTTAGTAGGTTAGATGACGTAATATAATTGACTAAAATGTTTCAACTTAGGTCAGGGTAGCAACAGAGGTAATTACAGGTAGAGACTAAGTAGATGTGGGTATAGAAGTAAATTCTACCTAATCTTTTTTCTTTTCTGTCTCGTCATGAATATTATTTTGTCTTTTCAATTGTAATATTTTACATTTTCACCTTTCTTGTTCTCTACCCGATTTCACTTCCACACATCACTACCACTGCTAATGACTTGAGCAACGCTCAATTTCCAGTCACTTATGTTACGATATCCAACTTATTTGCTCAATTTCAGTTTTTAATTTAAATGGCATTATTCTCTATCCCACGTCTACTTAGTCTCTCTCTGTAATTACCTCTGTTGCTACCCTGACCTAAGTTGAAACATTTTAGTCAATTATATTACGTCATCTAACCTACTAACTAACTCAATCTTACTTTAGTTGCTGTCTGATTAACCTTGTTTCTATATTGAATCATTTTTGTATTACCTGATCAATTATCTAAACTTGACAAATGTCATGTACACACACACACACACACACAAAGTAGTTATATATAAATGCGATTGTACAGATATGTGAATGAATTGGCTGACGAAAAGAGTCTCTTCACTGAACGACTTCTCTGCTTCACAACATCCCATAGCTATTAAATAAGCTTTATAAATTGTTTGGAATTCACTACAAACTTTGTGTTTCCTCCATACATTGAATACCTTTCACGAATTTGAATAAAGAAAGAGCAACAGTGTGGTTTTTGCAGAAATAAAATGGTACCATGACTGTTTATTTCGTTAACTTCTCATCAGCTGCTGGCGCCTATTAAATTAATTTACTACAGAAAGTGAAAGCTGTTAATTTACTTTTAGATAAAACCACATCACCTCTCATTGTCTTGTGATACGTTATGAAAATGTAAAAAAATATATTGTCTGGTTTCATATTTTTGTATGATAACTGAAGAACTTGGGTTGTTTTTCTCCGTCAATTGCCTTACGCAACTTGTCAGTCTAAAGGTAGGCTGTTCGACAGTGTGTGTGTGTTTCTCCTTGTTTGGAGAATTTCGTTTGTCTGTTTGTCTGTCTTGAAGCGGTGAAAATCATGAGTGAATAGCTGATGTCGACTTCATATGTGAATCAGTGTTAGGAATTGTCTGAGGAATTATTACATTTCTGTGACTGATAACTGAAGTGACACAACTGATCACACACTTTTTTGGTGTGTCGTAGGCAGTTGAGCATATATAACCACTGGAATAATTGACAATTAACTTCTAGGGTTAATAACATATTTCGATTAATCCTTTCACATTAGAAATAAAAATTTACATTTTGTGTGTGTTCATTACAATGCAGATAGTGTGACGACAGAATAGAATGACACTTTGGATAGTCGAACTGTTTATCTGGAGCAAATAACATGAAAGTATTGATGGCATAAAAAGGACTCAAACAAAAAAACTTGGAGAATCTGGACTTCGCCGATGATATAGGTCTGATTTCTCACAAACACTGGAAGATATGCAAGTAATGAAAAACAACAAGTTGCCAGAAGAAGAATCAAAGGTAGGACTTCAGGTGAACAC